AAGAAAAAGCCGAGGGGGGCTGGGAGGGAAAGCCAAGGCCCAGATCCGGCAGAAGGTGCTGCGTACCCCCGCCCCTGCGGCCAGCCCGGTACCTAGGGCTCTTTGAAAACAGGAAGAGCCAAGGTGTCATAAAGCCATCGAGCCGGCGAGACGTCTGGAGGTAATGAGTTTACGACAGGCCCGGCGCTTCGCTTTGAAACCATCTCATTTTGATGTTTGTGTTTGTGGGAGGAAAGGAAAAACGCAGACAAAACTGGGTCTTAAATTCTAGACAATAAAATATAAACAAGACTGCGTTGGACCAAGAAGGCAGGGGTTTGGGAGCCCCCGGGTAAGGTGTGAGCACCTAGGAAATAAACATGAGAGAGGTAGGAAGGAAGGGGTGGATGTATTTCGGATTTTTTTTTTAAGCAAACCTAAGGCGGGTGGCTTTTTTAGAAACCTAAGGCGGGTGGCTTTTTCTAATATTTTGACTACGGCCACAGTTTAGTTGGCTAGCTGGTTCTTAAAAAGAAAAAAAAGCATCCTGTTATTTGGGATTAGGGAGGTTACTGATATTGGAACATTTACCCAGGCCAGAGTCTCCCACAAGTGTGGAAAAGATGAGGTTAGATGCCTTTTCACAAAAATATCTGGCCCGCACTCCACGGTTTCAAGCAAAAAATACTGTTGGAATGTATGTCTATTCACCCATAAAAATACAATTGTTACACCTAACCTGGAGGAAGAGGAAAGCATATTTGAAAATGAGAAAAAGATTAACCTCCCAGGAAACACTTAAACCAATTAGTCTTCACTCTTAAAAAATCTATTGGGATGCTCAGTCAATTCAGCTCAGTCTGTGATTTTGAAAGAAATTTTAAAAATCGCTTTTATTGTCCACAGAAATTCAAACGAGCACAAGCCCAACAACAGGGATTTCCAGTCACTTGGAGATCCGGCAAAAACCTATTGATTCGGCTTTGATTCTTCCACAAAATTGCCCAGCTTAAAGGGGCTCAAAGTATTAAAATCCCAGGGTTAAAATAGCAAATAACAATGATTTAATCCTAAAAGTAACAACTTTAAAAGGAAAAAAAATGTTTGACTTCTACAATTTTTGGTTGTCGAAGTGCCTGACTCCTGGGGAGTGGGGTTGGGGGAGGAAGGGCCTCTTGGCAGTTGATAGTTAAAAAGTTGTGATTTTCGTTAAATCTAGCCTGTCCTATAATTGTTTTAAAAGGCACAGCAGGGCGATTATAGCATGGGCACCTACAGTGTCTGGCAGAGAAGGGCTGGAAGCTTTTGGAAAAGGCACTACTGGAAGCTGTTGGGAGCACAAATGAGAATATCCTTAGCATTCAGCAGCCCTTGTTTGCTGCACTTGACTTGTTGACAATCACAAGGATAAAGCATTATTAGTGTCAGCGGTCCAAGCCCCAGTCAAACTAAAGAACGCGATTCGAGTTGGTTTGAAACGAATAAAAGGGAAGTTAAACTCAATGGCTGGAGGTGGCATTTGGCCACTAGAGAGCGCTGTTGCTCCACTTTCCGATCTCGTAAAGCTAGAGTTGCGGTGGAGGAAGGTTTTGATTAAAAATATTTACAATCTTATTTTTAATACCAAATTAGGATAAATTTAACCAAAATAAACAATGTGCACTATTAAACTCTCCAACAGTGTTTGTTGGGCATAAAATTTTGGCTCAGTCAGGACTTCAGAAAATGTGGATTATGGCACAGCTGAAACTATAAAACGTTAGGGTAAATTAATGCATTCTATCAAAACAGAAACCTGTAAAAGTGTAGATCCTTATTTATGAAGTCAATCGTGCTCTTTTTCTATTCAAATTATAAACAGAATGCTTAAATAAAATTTTAGAAAACTGTTTTGTCCCAAGAGGAAATATTGTGTTGTAATGTGTTCTAAATTAGGCCAGAATGTGTATAAATTAATTTTGTAGTGTTCGTGTTTCTTTCTTCCACTTAGGAAGCACACTGTTCAAGAAGGTGCCTTGTACTGTTGAAATCCGGACTCTCACTTTGATTTCTCCCCATTCCATTCTAAAGTCCACTCATTCATCAAGGGTTCAAACACGCACACGCACGCCCACCAAAAAGTGACATAAAAAGTGACAATTATAAAGGTAGTCCCAAGGCTTTATTGATAATAATCTTTTACTTGGGTATGTGCGAGATTGAAGTATAGATCCTTAATTGTTAGTGTCATTTCGTTCACCTTCGGATTAAAAGGAAGTTGCCTGGAGATAAACCCACCGGAACAAAACAACAAAATCAACCTTGCCCTTCACCCCCCCCCCAAGAAAAGTCTTCTGCACGCCCTACTCTTGTAAAAGCTACATAAAGCATGGCTTTAGCATCTCCATATTCATTTACAATCCGTTTACCTTAACCTTTTCCAGCCATTCCCTGTAGAAATAATTGAGTCAGACATCTTGCTTTGCCTGCCCATCTAGACCTCATTTTCTCCACTTGTAAAAATGATATTCAGTCCACCACCACCCCCCCCCGAAAAAAAGCTATTCACTCCACCCGGACCCACCTCAGGATCGCGCTCACAGGCTGGGCCAACCCACGAGATGGGGGAGTAGTTGGAATCACTCGCCTGCCGCATCTTTGAGGCCATCTGTGGTTTTTAAACATTTTCATTTGGTTTGAAAAGCCGGCGCGGGGCGTTGCAGTTTAAGCGGCAGCGTCCTGGGGACTTGGGCCACGTCTCGGAGACGTTTCTTTCCCAAGGCAGAGGGCTTGGGCCCTCACTCCCGGAATGACCCCCGAGGAAAAGGGACTCAGTCACCCACGATAAAGGCCGAGTAGGCGAGGGAAAACACACACACACCAGAGACCCACTGCATTTACTGGACACTGAATCGGGAGAAGAAAGCAAAGCGTGGGGAGGCGGCTGGTGGCGTGAAGCCAAGCAGCTTTGGAGAGCGCTTTTAAAACCGATTTTTGCCGATTCACAC